AAACCCAGAGCTGGCCCCCAGAGGAACTCACACCATCATCTGGATAAAAACCCTTGGTAACTGGTGTATCTTTTGAACCATTCATGACAATCATGGCCCATCAGGAGGGTTCTGAGGTGGCTTTGGGGCTCTCAGTAATGTCATGAATAAGCTATGATGAAGAAAAAAGGAAGAGGGAGAAAAAAGCAATGAGAAAGGAGAGAAAGTGAGTAAGAAAAAATGTGCTGAGGTATAGCAGTGGTGGAGAGCAACAAGACTGTGAAGATCACTGGGAGCCACCAACTGGACATTTCCCCTTCTACAGAGCACATGCCCTGGTTTGTTGTTGAGACTGTCATATAGGGACAGAAGCAGAAGCCACTTCAAAGCACAAAGGTGGCATTGGTCATATCCCCCCTGTCTACATAGTATGTCAGTTTATTTTTTCTTTTTTAAGATTTTATTTATTTGACAGCACGAGAGAGCACAAGCAGGGGGAGCAGCAGAGGGGAGGGAGAAGCAGGCTCTCTGCTGAGCTGGGAGCCCAATGCGGAGCTCCACCCCAGGATCCCAGGATCATGACCCGAGCCAAAGGCAGACACTTAATCATCTGCACCACCCAGGCACCCCAGTATGTCGGTTCACTAAAGGAAGAATTAAATGGGCATGATTTCTTAAAATGTAGGACCAGTAGGAATTCAGGGTTGTTGATGGTCTGGGGTCTGAGGCAGGGTAAGCAGCTTGCTTTTCTCCCCATGAATGGCATTGATTATATACCACCCCACATGACTGATCATCATTTGACCTTCTTGTCTCCAATTGGATCCCATCTGTTGCTCTGAATCTGTGCATGTGACTTTGACAGATTCACCTGTAGTGAGTGAGTGATATGGTCAAGGGCATCCATGTTAGGCTGACAGAAGAGGGTGGTAGGATAGAAGATACAGTCTGTCGGGGGTGGGTGGGCATGGCAAAGTTGGGGAGGCAGGAAAGGCTCTAGTGAGAATGGGAAAAGCCCCAGTGGGCAATGGATGACTTTGAGTTGGAATGGAAGACCTGTTGGGAGACAAGGGGAACAGGAAGGTGCCATTCTTCAGGGCACCCATTTTCCCAATCTATCCAAGTCCCTGGCTTTCAAATTCTGTTCTGAGTTTCTTATTCCCACTTCAGTCAACCATTTTGTAAATGGTGGATCCACAGAAGATTCTTTAAAAGAGGTAATCTGGGGTGCCTGGGTGGCTCAGTTGGTTAAGTGTCTGCCTTTGGCTCAGGTCATGATCCCAGGGTCCTGGGATCGAGTCCTGTGTTGGGCTTCCTGCTCAGCAGGGAAGTCTGCTTCTCCTCTGCCTCTCTCCCAGCTTGTGCTCCCTCTTAAATAAAATCTTTAAAAATAAAAGAAGTCATCTATTGTGGAGTTAAAAAAAAAATCCATGGTCCTAGCTAATGGTAAGCACACAAATCACTTGACAGTACTCTGGGGTTGTCTTCCATGATGGCATCAGCCCAGGAGCTAATAGCATCTCCTGCTTTGAGTATCTTCATGGAGGGCAGTCTGCCTCCAAAGCTATTGTTGGTCAACAAAGCCAACATTGAACTTAGATCTGCACATCTATGTAATTATGAGTAAGCCATTTATTTGCTTTTCTCAACACTCTTTTCCTAATCCCAAACTCAGAGGGGCATATACAGAAAGGAAAGCAAAATGTATTTCGTAAAAGAATTTGGTGGCTAAGTGGTCATTATCTTCTGATTGAATGGTGCTTGCTTACCACCGATCATTGGAGTTCGGATCCTGGTATATATGATTATCACTCAGCTTCCTTCAGTTTTTTACTTTCGGCTCCCCACTAAGCAGGGAGCCTGATGCAGGGCTTGATTCCAGGACCACAGGATCGTGACCTGAGCCGAAGGCAGATGCTTAACCGACCGAGCCACCAGGCACCTGATTTTTTTTTTTAATTATTTATGCCCATAGTGGGACTCAAACTCGCAACCCCGAAATCAAGTGCCGCATGTTCTACCGACTGGTGCCCCCCCCTTTTTTTTAACTCCTTGAAACATGACCCCCCCCTTTTTTTTTCTTCAGTAATAGAAGTAGTGTTACACACCCTGTAGCTGCCTCTGAATATTTTGTGCAGAGAGAAGAAAAGCATTGTCTTAGCTTCCAAATGGTGCTCGGATCTTAAAAGCCTCATCTAAAGGAACTTTGGGATTCTCACTCTAACCTAAAGTTCCAGGCTCCGGGCCCACATGGGACTGTCTCACCCCCAGCCTTTCCCCACCTGAGCTTCATCTGACTTGTGTGCACTCTGACACCCACCAGGCTGGTTAACCCTTGGAGTGCTTTCATCCAGGTCACTCCCTCAGGACTCAGCTCCAGTGTCACCTCCCCACAGGACTCCTGCTGTCATTTCCACCCCAGTTGAGCTCAGAGTTTCTGCCCCATGAGCTTGCTCACTCCAAATACACCGTGCTTACACCCTTTCCAAAGGCAAGGGCTGTCCTGCCTTCCAGCACCTGGCAGCTTGGCAGGTGCCCTAGAAACACTGCCCCGAGAAACAAGACCACACTAATGACAGTGTATTTGGGACCAGTGACTATTTACCTTGTGACTGGTTACTGTCATTCCTCTCTGATCCACAAAAACAGTTTTCACCTCTGTGCACTGTTCTACCGAGCTGGATTGAAGCACTGCAAGTAATACAAGGCATTTTTACCCTGTCATTTCGACTTCAGGACAATGCTATTCAAGTCTGCAGACAGACACTTTAGTGCCAACATTTTAATTGGAATATGCCAACGCTGATGAGGAAGGGAGATGGTGAAGTAGGAGCATGTAAATACTGAAGCCAACCTGTAGACCACCTGCTTTCCCCCTCATCCCAGAAATGCATCCACCATGAGGCTGCAGCAGGAGCTAGAGGGAGGGCAGTTTTGCTTAGGAAAAGCATTTTATTCCCTGCACTGAAGCTGGCCAGACTAGAGGAAGAAGCGGGGCCCCTGATGAAGAAAAGACCAGACTCTATAGGGTTGGTAACAGCAAGGAGAGGGCAGAGGCTTTAAGGAGCAGGAGTTATTCCTCAGAGTGTGGAGGAGGTACTTGGGCAAAGGACCCCACCAAGACAGGTGCTGGTAACTTCCCTAGGATGGGCAGATGGCCCAGCTACACCTCAGGTCTGTCAAGCATGAGCACCAGCTGTGCCAATAGCCTCCATGACACCACTGCAGGGGTGGGAGGGTGTCACACCCACCTTTAGGCCTGGCTCCTTCGGGTCCATGGGCAGCTCTCGCACATCTGTGACCCACCACTATACCCTACTTTGCTCAATATTCCTAGTGTGCACGGTACCCAGGGCTTGCTTCCTGGGATGACCACTGGCCACCCTGGGGAACCACAGCCCACCTGCTCCATGCTCATGATGGCCAAGAAAATTGTTCTTGGCCCTCCCAGTCCATTTTGCATATCCATTAGTGATTCCACACTCCCTTGAGACACTGAGAGCAAAGGTGGAGGGCATGGGTAAAAGATCTGAGCGCACACGGGGGCATAAATTTGTTGATGCAACACTTCAGAGATGTTGGTATAGGAGGGTAGCATGTGTCCATGATTGTCAGCAAGGAGGTGAGAAAAAAGTTTAATAAGGGAAAGAGATCGAGCCTCTGTGGTAGCAACCTGGACCTTGAGTGGTAGTAAGAGCACAATTACTTGAATGTCGTGTAGGATTTTATTAATTTCAAATCTTACTAAGCTTGGCATTCTATCACACACCATGGTGGCATACATCACCTTTCTTGAAGCCAGGCTCATTCAGCTCATTTCTAGAATATTTCAATCAGGCCTTAAAGTACATGGATGTTAGTCCTATGGCATTCAGGTAATAACCTGACATCAATTTTTCTTTTTAAGATTTGGGAACCTTTAGGCATGTGTTTTGAGCACGGAGAAGTGAGAAGCAGCAGTAAGAGAACTTTTTTCCTTTGCTGGCAGAAAAGGGCCAAGAGACACAGGCCATAACCACAGGCAAAAGTTAAGAGAAATTTGTTATTAAATTTAATTTTCTTTAAATACATACCTTTGTCCCACCCCTCACCTACTCCAGGTGGGGGAGAGAAAACCCCACCCCCTCCATTCAGGGGTTCCATGTATAAAGCCTGAGATGGTGAGGATGAAGTATAAAAATACTATTTACAAAGGGGAAGAAGTATCTGCTGCTACCTTAATTAACCTTCAGACAGACACCCCCATCCCCAGGCCCCTTTTGCTCCTTTAGAAAAAGCCCCTGGGAATTCATTTGAGTGTAGAACAAGCCCTTCCTCTCGAGGGGCACTCAAACCCCAACATGGCATAGGAAGCTCTGAGATTAACTGAGGAAGAGAGTGAACAGATAGCACCACAGATCCTAGCAGGGGGAAGGCCTTTGCCCTCCATTACCCTGTAGTCAGCAGGCCTGCCCGCCAGCCTTTATTTCCACAGGCCCCATGTAAACATTGACTTTCCTTTTTTCCGTGTCCCCTGCTCTTCCTGGCTTCCTACAGAGCCTCTCTCACTTCCAATGGAGGCACTTGGTTCCTTGATGGTTCCTTGATCATTCCTTCCACCCCTTCTCACCTTCCTTGGCAAGGAGTGAAGAGGAGAGGGAGGTGACAGGTGGGGCAGGGCCCATCTTAACCCTTCTTTGAGGTCAGGGCAGCCTGGTTCCTCCTAAGGGGAACCCTCAGGGGGTGAACTCCAAGCGCTCAGCCAGATAAGGGTGGATGGCTTTCCCCAGCAGGGACAGGCAGGCAGACAATCCAGTACCAGGGTACAGTGTTCTTTATGGGTGACGCCATTAGTTCTGAGTAGCAGGGAAGGCGGCTTCAGGGGGCAAAAAGGTGGGGCAACGCTGGTCTCACCCTGATGCTGGGAGACTAGCCCTGCATCCCTGCCCCTTCAGGTAAGCATGTCAATCACCACCCAACAGTCCTTGTTCACTGTAGCTGTGCAGAGGGATCAGGCACCCATGAGGCAAGAGGTCTTTTCCAGGTCTTGGCATAGAAGTAGCACTCACACCAGCTCGTCCAATAGGATCCCGATGCTCTGAGTGGCCTCCGAGGGCCCAGCAATGGGCTTGTTACACATAGGGCAGACACAGCGTACTTCTAGCCACTTCACCAGACACCTGTGGGCAGAAGAAGCCTGTTCCGTCTGTCTCCTGGAGCCCAGCGGCTTCTCAGGACATCTCTGTCCTTGCCCCAGTCCAACCCCTCCGGCTTGTCTGATGTCCAGACAGGATGTAGGGCCTCACTGGCAAGGGGTAGACGGGAGGGGGTAGGGATTACAGGTTCTACAAGATGCTCCCTGCTTATTTTCTTTCAAAAGGCATCCCCGGGTAGCACATTCCCCACAGTGGACACTTACTTCCGGTGAAAGGCATGTTGGCATGGGAGCACACCCAGCTCGTCCTTCCCCTTGAAGTCTTCCAGACAGACTGCGCAGGTCTGCTGTGGGAAGAAGGGGGCAGTGTGAAAGGAGGCTGGGCAAGAACCACATGCACCCATCAGCTCATCCCCACCCAAGTAAACTAAGCTATGGCCCCGTTTCCTCATCAGCCACCGACACTTGAGTCAAAGGGTAGCCATAAACCACACATGATGTTTCCATTGACCAAAAGAAGGTGAAATTAAAAGTTTAGTTCCTCAATTGCACCAGCTACATTTCAAGGGCTTCCCATACTGGGCTGTGCAGACATCAGACGTTTCCATCTTCACAGAAAGCTTCATTGACCAGTACTGTTCTAGAAGAGTATTTTTTAATCCTTTCTCGCCTGGTACATTTGGCAAGGGGGCATGTATCAATAACTAGAGGTGAAGGATGGGGATATGGTGTTCAGTTTTAATATTCTTTAAATCTAGCTTTTTGTCATTATATATTAACCCCTGAGAGCTGAACTCTTCCTCTCAAGGAGGGCTTAGGGAACACCTGGGAATTTGCTGAAATGCAATAGCAGGCATCAAAAAGAGGGATGAGGGGCACCTGGGTGGCTCAGTCAGTGAAGTGTCTGCCTTTGACTCAGGTCATGATCTCAGGGTCCTGGGATGGAGCCCTGTGTTGAGCTTCCTGCTCAGCCGGGAGTCTGCTTGTCCCCCTGCCCCTTCCCCTCCACTCGTGCTCTCTCTCGAATGAATAAAATCTAAAAAGGAGAGAGATGAAATGAGGCATTCCTAGGCTGTCTCGTGTCTAGCAATACCTGTGGATCCTCCCGGCTCCCAGACACAACCACAAACCCCCTGTGCACAAGTGTCTAGGGTAATGGATGGACACCTCAAGAAGGTTAGATGATCTCATAAGCGCAAGTAGAACAGGAAGAGGAAAACGGCCTCCTGAAAAGTCCATGTGAGGAGACCCAAGGACTTGCTATACTGGTTGGGGGGAAACAGGGAAGCACTGCGGGGATGGCTACCCAGGTCAGATCCGCAGTTGGCTAGGAAAGAGTGCATGTGTGGTGGTAAAAAGCAAGGGCGGCTGGACTCTGGCACGGAGCGGTGTGTCCATCCTCCCCTTCAACAGTCTGCAGAGCAGCCTCCCTGGGGCCACGTGTCCCCGCTTATTCAAACCCTCTGTAAACGCTTTAGGTTCTCTGCCTGCGCCGACATCATGAATCCCATATATGGATTACCTGCTGGGATGAGTCCCATTTATTTGGCCCAAGGAGATGAAGACAGGGTCTAAAGTTCCTGAAAGGGCAACCCCTTCGGGTCCCCTCCCTCCTCGGGAGCTTTGTATTATCACTCTGCTATCACTCAATAAACCTTGTCTTTGCTACCCACCGAAAAACAAAACAAAACAATAATAATAATAATAATAATAATAATAAGTGCCTGAAAGGTCCAGACAGAGCTGGACGGAGAAGGTGCCATTTGCCTTGCCGGCTGGGGCCCTTCCTACATGCTTCCCAGTGTGCTTACCCCATATAATTGCAACTTCTTGGCATCTCCTTTAAGTACCACCTGGGAAGACAGAGAGGAGGCATGGTGTCAGAAGAAGCCCACCACAGGGCCAGGTGCTCTCAACAAAGAAGGGAGTGGCCAGCCCTGCACAGGAGGGTCTTCTCCCTCTGGAGGGGGAGGGCTCTGGGCACTGCCTGGAACAAGCCAGACGTGAGGACCGTAACAAAGCATCAGCTTCCAAGGGAGCCAGAAGAGAGGCCAAGGGGGTTCCAGGCCAGCACTGCACCAGCTTGCCTGTATCCTGCCTGCTCCCTAGCAGGGCAAGGAATAGGACAGGAAGTCTCAGGGAAAGAGGCAGCACTTTACCTCCTTATAGCCATATCGTTCACTCTGCGCCTGGTTCCGGAGTTTGCTGGGGGAGAAAGAGATAGGGGAGAGAAGAGGTTAGTTATTACTATGCCTCGCTACAGCCATTCAGAGTAAGAGAGGCAGGCGGGTTGCGGGGGGCCATTCTTCTGGGGCCAGGGAGGCTGCTCACCACAGGGCTGTCTCATCCCAGAGATGCCACGGAGTGTGGTTTGGACCCATGCAGGTCACCCAGAGTGGATTAAAGACTCAGGCTCTTTCTTGGGCCCAGCAGCCTCAAAACTTCCTGGCAGGTCCTACAGATGGGGGAATTCCGGCCAAGCACATTCTAGCAGAATGGTTCATTCCTACTGCCTGTGGTTTCCCAGTACCTCATTTTCTTCAGGCTCCCCAAGTCTACGGATCAGTAAGCTGCTTACTGAGTCTACAGAAGGAGCTAGATAGTCTTAAAAGGGATATTGCCATTAAGCCAGGGCGGCAGGATAAATAAGTCTCTGTTGACCCTGGGGAATTTTCCTCCTGGAGAACTCAAGTATTCTGGAACCAAAGCATACTCTCCCCTTCACAGCACCAGGCAAACACAGATGATCCCTCTTTTGCCTTTTTTCCCCTCCAGTTTTGAGCTGGTGGCCTACATACAACCTAACTCTCAATAGCCAAAACACAGCACGTTGTTACTAATGGCAAGAACACCGTAGTTACGGAGGACTTGCTGTGCGTCCAACCCTGTGTTAACATACGCATGTACTTTGAGAGCTTTCCTTTTTACAGAGGAAAACCAAAGTCCAGAGAAGTTAAATAACTTGCCCAAGCCTCACGGCTAGTTGGCAGCATAGGCGAGTTTGAATCAAAGTCTACCAGACTATAGAGCCTGAGCTCTTTAACACATACTGTGTCCTGCTTCCCATTAGGGGGAACACATCATTGTCCTGAGAACGATATCAGACCACTTGGGAAACATCTGTTCATTAGCAGGGCAACAACTAATGGCTGGGACCATGATTATGCATTATTATTATTGCTGTTTTATTTGCAATGAAAGAAACCTTCCAGATTAAGCAGGTAGCTCTATGTCCTTCTGTACTTGGGAGCCAGATGGGGCTTCCTCTGAACTGATCACTCCTACCCCAGATTTGGGTTATTGGAAGGAAACATCAAGTTATAATCGGTGTGGCAGACTATGGCCTAAGGGCCAAAGCCAGCTGAGCACTTGTTTTATAGGGCCTGGGAGCTAAGACTGATTTTTATTCTTAAGTGGTAGAAAGTAGAAATCAAAAGAATATCTTTTTTTTAAGATTTTATTTATTTATTTGACAGAGAGAGACACAGCGAGAAAGGGAACACAAGCAGGGGGAGTGGGAGAGGGAGAAGCAGGCTTCCCGCGGAGCAGGGAGCCTGATGTGGGGCCTGATCCCAGGATCATGACCTGAGCTGAAGGCAGATGCCTAAGGACTGAGCCACCCAGGGGCCCCAGAATATTTTATGTCTTGCGAAACCTATATGAAGCTTAAATTTCAGTGTCCACAGATTTTTATCTCCCCATTGTCCACGGCTGCTTCTGCCCAGTACAGTGGGGTCATTAAGAGACTGGAAGACTTCCAAAGCCCCTATATTTGTCCTTTTGCAAAATAAGAGTGCTGATCTGAGTTAGAGTAAGAGATCTCAAATCACAAGCCTCAACCAAAGGGAGTGAGAGAAGACGCTCACTCCACGGACACTGTGGAGAAGGTGAATTGCAGCCCGAGCCGGGGAAGGTGCAGCGCGTGGAGCAGAGCAGAGCTGTGCCCAAATTCCAGTCAGGGAGCAGATCCAGATCAGGCTGCCACCTACCTCCACTGTTCCTAACAGAAGTCAGGGGCCCTGGCGAGCCTGTGTACCTGGAACCTCTTAAGATCTCCGGTCTAGGGGGGCCTGGGTGGCTCGGTCAGTTGAGCACCCAACTCTTGGTTTCGGCTCAGGTGATGATCTCAGGGAGGTGAGACTGAACCCCATGTCAGGCTCCCTGCTCAGCATGAAGTCTGCTTGGGATTCTTTCGCCCTTCCTCCCTCCCCCTGCACTCTCCTCTCTCTCAAAATGAATCTTAAAAAAAAAAAAAAAAAGAACTCCTGTCCAAGGATGCCCAGTTAGTGGAAAATGTGACTTTTGATCTCAGGGTTGTGAGTCTGAGCCCCAAGTCGGGTGTAGAGGTTACTTAAAAATAAAATCTTAAAAACAAAAAAACAAAAAAACAAAGGAACTCTAGTGCAGGTGGAGTCCTGCACCATGGAGCAAGGCCCAGGGCAACACATCCACTGGAGAGTTTCTGGTCATTGGAGGGATGGACCAAAGGCTTAACCAGGACTCCCACTGTCCCAACCTTAACTTTGCAGGGAACTCAGTCCAGAAAAGCCTTTCACAGGCAGGCCTCTCCATCCCCACCTCTAAACAAGAGGGGCAGACATGGATGCATCCAAAGCCTAAAGGAGCAACTGTTACCTGGCTGACACTGAATGAAGCTGGGGAAGGAAGAAAGTGTTCTCATGATCAAAGTGCTCACAGCTGCCTTCTGAGGGAGGCTGTCACCTGCTATGTAGGAGACCAAATAAGGAAGTGGTGAGGAGCCTGCTTCTTAACTCCAAGAATGAGGGGACGGCTCACATATTTGGTGTCTCCACTGCCTCCCCTCCCACATGGCTCTGAGCACATTGTGTTGTGCCTCTCTGCTTGTTTCATGGTCTGTGCGGGGTACCGCCCCCCTCAGCCCTTCTGTCTGCCTGGCTCCACTTAAGGGTCACAGTCAACGACCCTCCAGTAGCTGGGGGCCCCTGAGCCCAGTACCACCAGAACACTGAGAGCCTTCACCCTGCGTGTAGATTTCTGGAACAGGAAGGTATACATTGTGAGGAGAGGGGGCTGAGAAAGGCTGCAAGGGAAACAAGGCAAAAGGCAAACCCCTTGGGCCATCCAGTGGAGGCCGTGGTGCCAGCAACTGTGGACAGGTGGCCTTCTCAGCTGTCGGGTGACCAAAGCTACTAAAAATACTCGGATTTCAATGAGACCATTTCTCGCCACTGCCAGTGGGCTCTCCCTGGCTTCTTTTCCCTTTTGAAACAAACAATGCAGCCAGGTCCTGAAAAGAATTGTTCCTTTCCTGCCTATTTGTACTTCACTGGCCCCTCCATCCTGTGTAGTCCAGAGGTTAGCTCTTGGGGACCGAGGAAGGAGTGAGGGGGAGTTGGGAGAGTGGAGGCTGGTGTTGGCCAATGAGCTCTGCCAGGTGGAGAGCAGGGGTCATGGGCCTATTTTGGCGGTGGAGGAAACTGAGAAGCAGGGAGAGGAAGTGGCTTCTGTGCTTGTGTGTGTCTTTCTATATATAGACACCCCCAGGCTGCCACACAGCAGCAAGCCTCTGGAACCATGAAACTCCGGGGTCAGCTGGCTTTGGGCAGGCTGCAGAACAGAAGGTGGGGTGACAGAAGGGACAGGTGGCGCCAAGCGGCCCGCAGTCAGGAAAGCTTTTGGTTATTGCTCTGTTCTCTTACTCCAGCCAGCCAAAAATAAGTCAGCCAGGCCTAGCTCCCCAGCCTGTCCTCCTGAGGGACCCCGATCTCTAGCGGTAAGGGGGTGCTGAGGGACCTTCCACAGCTGCCCCTTCACTTCCCATTCAAAGAGTAAGAATCAGAGAAGGCAAATGTATGGAATCTGAAAGACACTAGCTAATGACCACCAGGCTAGCCCACGTCTGGATTTTCCTCGACATAGGATCCTGAGCAAACCTGTACCTGCCTGAGCATGAACTTCCTCATTTACAAAGTGGGCTAATACATACGTTGGGGGGCGGGGGGGTGTGTGTCACAAAATGCCAACCTGCCACATAATGTGGCACACAGAACGCACTTGGTAAACAGTAGCAAAAACCCAAGGTCACACCTATCCTATTAGTGGCAGAATTAGGAAATGAACCGTGGTCACCTACTTCCTGGCCCAGGGCCATGTTCTAGATTTTTCTTCACTCGACCCCACCCCCTTTGCAGCGTGGGTGTGTACCAGACAGAGTTGCTTCTGCAGACTCCTCCCCAGAATCATACATTGGTATTTGGTATGTCTCCATCTTCAGTCTCTGGGGAACTGCATGAACTGCTTGGTGTGGGGAGATGGGGGTGGCTGGTGGTCAGGAAGCCAGAAAGTTTGAGGAAGAAAATATAGGCTTGGGGAAAGAGAAATGGGGGACAGAGAGCTACTAGAAGAATTGCCCTCATTCCCACTTATGCAAATTTTAGACTCAATCATACAAGAGGGAAAGTGAACCACTATCTTCTCTGCATAAACTTGTAAGTGGAAAACTCCAGTCCCAGGAACTTTAAGTTCTGAGAAAGAAGAGGCCTAAAGTAACTGGCTGGGGGCACTCAGGGCACTTCCCCTTTTTTAGAGGAAGCTCTTCTAGCTTCAGGAATACAGACGGAAGAGTGTCTGCCTTCCCCCTAGCCTCCCTCCAGGTGAAGCACTCAGACCCACAAAGACCTCTCAGTAGGGAGCCAGAACTCCTTCTTTCCTTCATCTTAATTTAAATGATTTGGCAAGACTCAAGCTGACAGCTACTCAGGCATTTGGTCAAGTGTGTGTGGGGGGGTGGGTAGGGAGTGGTTATTACAATGGGGGGGGGGACCACTAGGGTGCCCAGGGATGCTCCACACTCCTCAGTATGCAATGCAAGGTAGTCCCATACAATGAGGAACTGTTAATACCAAGAGCATGCCCTCATCAGAAACACTACTTTAATTTCCACTCTAAATACCAGTCATGCCCCAAATTTTTGGTAGAAAACCTGCCACCAGTTCCCATGTCTTTCAACAGGAGGTGAAGAAACCATTCCTGGAGCTTGGCTAGCCTCAGGAGCCCTACCATGCTCAAGTCCTTCCCTGGATCTCTACGTAATAAGAACAAGTGACTTTTTATTTTTTTGGGGGGGTTATTGTGTTACCTCCCGCCCCCACTATCAAAAAATAAAGAGCTTACAAGGCAGAATAAACAACCAGCTCTCCAGACATCAGTTTGCTAATATTAGCATCTGGAGGGCTGACAACAGGATTTCCCAGGAGGGCAGAGGAACATGCCACTGGTGTAACTGATGGCCACCTATCCCTGGCTACCCAGAGTTGTGAGCAGGGAGTGGAGACAGAGTGAAGGGATGGACTCATGATATTACTTGGTCAGACAATAATCCTAGGCCACCCTAGGGTAACAGGCCAAGAGGTGCGATGCAGCCCAACCAATGGTGACCTTATATGCCCTGGACAACTTGATAGGCTGACGAAAATAGAAACAGCAGGCCTCACGGGCCCAGTCAAGGGCAGGCTAAGCCCTGTCCTCAAAGCAGGGGCCCCAGTGGGAAGCCAGGGACTCTGCTGAGGAAGTCTCACTTGGCTCACCCCACCCCTGACCTCCTTCTCCCTGCCTGCCTGCCCCAGGTCACCCAGGGTGCCACCGACCTGATAAAATAGCAGCAGAAGATGAGGCTGAGCATGAAGACGAAGATGCCCGTGCCAAAGATGACCATGTAGATGTTGAGAGGAAGGTCCTGGAAACTGATGGGTGGCATGGAGCAGGACTTGTTGGTACTAACCAGTCCCAGGCCACAGAAACACCCTGCAAAGAAAGGCAGAGGAAAACTTATCGTTGATCGTTGGAAATGTACCACCGAGGCTGATGTTACTCAGGTCAGCCAGGATGGAGAGAGAAATGGCAGGCTCTGGGCTCCTAAACCTCTTTGATACATAGGCTTAACTCTATATCCTAGCTCTAACACTGAGCAGCCATGTGATCTTGGGTAAATAAGTCATCCGTGAAATGGGATAGCACATCTAGCACTTAAAACTGCATCTCCACCTAGGGGATCAAGGATACGAGCCAATGGAAGACTTGATCCCATCAGCTAGAAGCTCACAGAGCTCAGCAGCAAAATGAAGAGCCCTGGGTTGACAACATGGGTATTTGGGTTGCAAACACTGCCTTTCCCTAAAGATGTGACCTTTAAGAACTTAGACCTATCTAAGCTTCCCTTTGTCATTTAAAAACAAGCAAAAAACAGAGAGGACCGGAAGTCCGTGTGTTAAGAACGAAGCTTTGTAAAATCGCAGGGTGCCCTCGCAAAGGTCAGTTGTCATTATGAAGTCACCTGCTCCAGGAGACAAGCTGCACCAGGGCCAGAACAGAAACTGTTCACCCCAAGGCTGGGCCAGTGTTCCAGAAAGTGTTGCGGGGTGCCGCTTACTCTGGCCACTTTCCCCGTTTGTACTCAAAGCCTCAATGTGCAGTTGTATAGTGGCATTGGCATCTGACTCAAAATCTTCTAAGAAATGCAAAATCTCAGGCCCACCCTGAACAAAATGAACCTGAATCTACATTTTTTTTAAAGATTTTATTTGACAGAAAGAGACACAGCAAGAGAGGGAACACAAGCAGGGGGAATGGGAGAGGGAGAAGCAGGCTTCACGCAGAACAGGGAGCCCAACACAGGGGCTTGATCCCAGGACCCTGGGACCATGACTTGAGCACGCGCCCCCCCATTTTTTTTTTCTCCAGAATCTACATCCCCCCCAAGGTCCTTGGCAGATTCCTACACATGCCTTGTGGGAAACACTAACCCGCCACTAGACGCTTCTCCTTCTCCCATCACTCGGGTAAATCCCGACTGGCCTACTAATCATTGTAGTCACCTTCCCCTTGCCAGGGTTTGGTGTGGAGGTAGGTATGTTGACAGGGTTCTGGCCAAAAACAGAGCGAAGTCCTGCTGGACAAGGAAAGAGTCACATCTTCCTGAGACAACTGAAATGCTGACAGCCAGGTCACAGCTGGACGAGAAAGCTGTTCAATATAAAGCCAAGGGTAGAAGGTGGCAGAAGTGGCAGGGAAAGAGGAGACAAGATTATGGCGGTTACTGCTGGATGAACCAATCCTGGAGCCGCTGTTCTGGGAGTACTCGTTTTGAGAAATAGTAAATTTCCTGTAATGTTTTAACAGTACGAAAAAATATATACAGGATATAAACAATAAGCCGGATCGAATGTTCTGTCCTGCAACCAGGACAAAATACTACAGTGATCCAAAAGGCAAGCATAATACAATTCTTGGATTTCAGCAAGTGTGGAGACAAGGAAACTAGCATCTACCATAAACCTGCTACATCCCAAGCACATTCTCAGGCTACCAATTTAATCTTCGTAATGCCACTGTGAAACTTACTTTCCCCCTTCAACAGGAAAAAAAAGAATCGTTAAATAAGCTGTCTAACGTCAAGCAGCTAAGAAGTCTTGTATCCAAAGACCTCTGCACTCAAGTCTTCAACATGGGTTTTAAGCACTGGCTTGACATCTTGGTTGGGAGCCAGAACCCATAAATATACTTCAGAATTCTGGATTATAATTTCCAGTGCTACCACAACTCAGAAGAAGACTGGTTTAAAGGACTGGAAGTCAATTTTGACATCCTACATCTTATGCCTTGTCATCCCCTAGATCAGTCTGGTGACCTATCATGAGCCTCCCTTCAAACCTCTTTTAGATGTTGGGCCCAATTCTATTCCAAGTCTCTGTCCCAGACACTTCACTGATGTCTGGTCCCTCCTCTAATTTAGCCCACCACTATTTCCCAAGCTTGTGATTGGCTTCCAGTCCTCCTACACACACACACACACACACACACACACGCACACACGCGCCCCACACACACACACACACACCCGCTCACCGTCTTATGGAATCACCCACCAGGAACCTGTCTCACTGTATCTTGTCCAAACTGTCCTTAACCTGCTTCCAGACCTTTGTTCACGCCAACTTTTCCCTGCCCGAAACTCCCTCTGCCTTCTGCAAGTCCACCAAGCCTGCTCCTCATGATATCCCAGGGAGCCCTCTCTTCCTCTGAATTCTACAGGGCTCACAACCTGTACCACACATTCTGGTTCTTGCACACTCAGATGCTGTTCCAAGCATCAACTTAAGTGAACTCAAATATTGACTACAGGACAAATACCATGACAGACATTGAATATAAAAAAGCAAAGAATGACTGGATGATTTTACTGTGTAGGGACAAAGAAAACACAAAGGCTTTCACTGTACCAAGGGAGGCATGGCAATAGAGGTGGGACTAGAATCCTGAAATCAGAAAGGAAATAGTCCTAACCAGCTTGAATGTTCCTAAGTCTGAGTGAAGTCTGAGGACAGCGGACTTGGACTTGTGTATATTCTCCAGTGCCTCGCCCAGCGTTTGGCTTCTTTTCAATTAACTAGCTGACAGATAAATAACTCCTGATTTTCAAGACAACCTGGTACCCTTGGCAAAGGCTCCACTTCAAAGTAAGGAGAGTGATATTTGGGAAAATTGCCCAGAAACTGCCCTCCGCTAATGAATGACCGGTCAACCAACAAGTATTATTGAGAGTCTGATTTATGCACTGACCTAGACATTGTGGGAAAACAAAAAATAGAAGTAGTTCTTGTCCTGAAAGACTTTATTGAAAAGATTAAATAATTAGCTCCTAACCTTGCTATGTTCAACAGGAAGCCCTTGCTTCTAGGCTCCCTACCTCAGCAACATTTGATGCCATAAGAGGGTCTAACCCCAATCCCTCTTGGCTCTCCATGCACATTTTATGAGCTGGATCCTGGTTATCTTTAGGGTCCCAAAGAACCTCATTGGTTTCCCGTCCTGGGAAACTGCTATTGTAAAGGATATGTATAGGCACTCTGCAGGGACTCTGGCCTCAGTTTACCTTGACCGTCTTAGCTCTTCTGACAGAGACTTCTCCTGGGTTCCAGGACTGAGTCAGTGAGCTTGGGACTTCATGTGATAAAAAGATACAGGTGAGAAGAGCTTCATAGCCAAGAGGAGATGGTACATTTACTTATAATTAAAAATAAATGGTAAAGATATATATTGGCCAAAAGGTGTAGGAGTCATTTTTCCTCCAAAACTTGTAAGGGCAGAATACCAACCTGAGGAAAGAGACTCCAGATATTCCCCACCCCCAACAAAGGGATGGGGGAGGGGGAAGGGACTGCTTCCTCCTTGGAGCCAAAGAACAGGATCTATCAGCCACTTTAAGTGACAAGAAAAAGCAGCAAGCCCTCTGCTGGTCTAAAAACCCCATATGAAACAGGAGTGCCAGAATCAAGTGCCAGCCACCTTGGTTCTTCTGAAGTCTCTGTTCCATTGTCTCAGCTGACCTAGCAAAGCCCTGACATCAGAGTGTCTCATCTCGGTGGTGCGCAGGCTAGGGGCTGGAATGACGTCAAGAGAAGGGCTGGCCAAGAAAGACCAGTGGGTCTGGGAAATGCTTCCCCTGCCCAGCCAACGGGAAGCTTTCCCAGATGCTGGGATGCACCGTCCTCCCTCACCCCCATCCTCCGCCCCCTGTCCCCCAATGCCCGCCTATCACACACAGCTTGGTTCATTTTCAGGAAATTAGATCCCACCAGCAAGAGGAAGAGGGGGATGGGGGACGCTCATACACATGCTGTCCAAACCCTGCCTTAAAACAAAAGCCGCTTGGAAGAATTCATCCAAGATCTGGCAGGGGTCTGCTCTCAAGAAGGGTTTTTTGTTTTTTTTTTTTTTCTTTTCTTTCTTTTCTAACTATTTTTTTTTTTTTACTTAGATAAGGCCAGCTGCCCCCCACCCCCACTTCTCCAGAAACTCCATGCCTTGGAACAACACGGTTAAAACACCAAAGCCACTGGAAGGTATTAGTACCCAAAAACCAATACCTTTTGACTGACCGGCTCAGAAAGGCCCTTCTTTAAGGTAGCTTGGGTGGAGTCAGCCCCAAACCCAACCTGTATCACCTGAAATGCCAAAAAGCCTCAGGTGAGATGGATTTAGCATCACTCCAGGCCCGGGAGGGTGGGTAGAGAGTGGGGTGGAGGAGTGATTGGGCAAGGAGGTGCGGCCACCACCCAGGCTCGGTTGCGGGTGCGGTAATCTGGCCTTGGGGCCAGAGAGCACGGCTCTCGCCGGCCTGGCCCTGCACCCAAAGGTACCCGGGCGCCGAGACATCTTCAGGGCTTTATCAACCCAATAAAGACACGCTCTTTAATCTGGCGTCTTCCACAAACAAAAAAGCCCCCTAGCAGCGACTGAGAAGCCAACAAAGACACAGAGGAAGCCGCCCCCGCGCCCGGTCCCGCACGCTGCATTGTATACATATTTAAAATAGCCTGCAAAGTTCCAGGCCGGGAACTTGAGCTCCCTCTAGGAGATCCCAACCCGAGCGCGGATTTTATTCTCCTCCGGCAACCACAACAAAGACCAGAGTTTGAGCGCACAAAGGCAAGGGAAGAGGGTAGAAGAGCGAAGCCGCTACACAAAGGCCGCGAACCCCTCGGCTCCCACGTCCCCCGCCCGCCGCAACGTTCAGAGACGGTCCCGGGCCTTGAGTTAAACCTGATTTTTTTTTTTTTTTTTTCAAATTCCGCGCTGTGCTGAGCGGAGTCGGGCGCCAGGACGCTTTCTCGCGCGTCCCATTTCATGAGAAACTTAGCTCAAGAGGAAGAGCGCGAGCCCTCTGTCTAATCTCAAGCCTTGCGCCCCACCTCATCTGCGGCCAGCCCAGCGTCCGCTCGCCCTCCCGGCCCGGACACTCACCGTTACACCACTGGAATGGGTGCATCAATGAACTCTAGGCTGGCTTCCTCCGGCGAACGAAGGCAGGCGGCGGGTAGGGCAGGCGGGGTGGGCGCACCGGTTTTCGGGTCCGCAGGAGGGGCCGGTGTAGCCCGCGGCAGCCGCCTTTCTGGAGAAATCGAACTCCCTCCGGAGCGGCGGGTTTGGGCTTAAATGGTTTTAGAGCAACAAAGAGGGAAAAGGAGAAAACAGAAAGTCCCCTGGATCAGTACACCACAGAGGAAATGCAGGAAGGGGCCCCAGGCTGGGGGAGATGCAGGGCGCTGCGGAATAGGGTGGGGGCGCCCAGTTCGCCCGCCGAGGAGGGAAAACGCTTCAGCGGGAGGCTGGGCTCAGGATCCCGGACGCGAAGGTGAACAGCCAGGACTCTGAAACTGACACGGGCTGCGCACACCCCCCTCCCTTTTACTCCCCCCGGGAAACTCCGCCCCGCGCCCGTCACCCGCCCTCCGGCCAATGAGAGCCTTCCTGCTGGCCCCGGGTATTCTTTGCAGGCCCGCCCCCCTCCGAGGGGAGAGCATCTTTGCACAGTGGGCGCCTCCCGCTTCGCCTTCCCCAGTCCTCGGGAAACTTAACTCTAAAGAGAAGCGAGCCGCGCGGTGTGATGCGCGGAGCGGGCGGGGGCCGGCCTCATCCGCCGAGGTCCTAGAGGAAACCGAACAATTAAGTGCCACATTGTTTTCCGCCTCCAGAGCTGCTGTTTAGCATTTCCATTGCTCTCTGAGAAGCCAGTTCTAGGGAGGCGTTACATTTCTGCTCCGTGGGCAAGGACTTGGTCCTGGGTGGCGGCTACCACGTTCCTTTGCTCACTGGAAAAGGAGGAACTGGAGCAAGAGAGTGAAGCAGATGAATGACAAAAGTGAGATCTGGAAAGAGCTCGAGTTGCCTTCTCATTCCTGGTCAGCCCCTCGTTTCACAAACAAGGAGCTAAGGCCCGAAGTTTAAGTTTAAGGTAGACTTATCAGGGCTCCACGCTCCTGAGTAGCAGAATCAAACCAGAAATCGACATTGGCAATACCTTAGGGGCAGCATCTTCAGCATCTAGCGCCACGTAGGTGTTGAAACAAATAGCAGTTGGAGGAAAGACTGAATCTCTTAACCCCACCCCCCATGCTTTCTTTTTTATCTGATGTTGCATCGCTTGTTTATTTCTATCTTGTCTGTCTTTCTGTCTTTCATTTATTCAGAATGTATTCACCGTGAACCTACTTTGTGTCAAGCACTGTGGCTCAGGGGACCCATCAAGGTCATCGGAGTCAGCGGGGTTCTACTCTCCTGCGATTTTCAGTGCCTGAGGAGACAGACAGTAAACAAGCAAGCAAACAAATAAGAATGACTCAATCTCATCTTTCAATTAAGCTTAATCTGTTAATTGAAGGTGATAAACACTTTCCCTAACTCTTGGGAATTTGTGACACTCAGACAAGATTATGCATATGAGTGCTTTGTCATTTAAAAGCATGGTGGTTAAGGTATTAAATAACTTGGCTAAAATCACAGAGCAGTATGGAACAAGTAGTTTAGCACTTAATTACGTAATTGTCTTAAAACAATTGTTTTTCCTTATGAGCCGGTCTTGAGGATCGGAATCACGTACAGATCCAGCGCATTTCATCTCTTAATTGGGCAATTGCAAAGGCTTCCTACCTGGTCTTTCTGACTCTAGTCAATGCCTCAGACTTTAGAGCCTCTGTGAATCACTTCTGTTTAGAGATGTTACATATGCAGACTCCCAGGCCTCGAGCTCAGAGATTCTGATTCAGTAGTTAAAGGGTGGGCCCCAGAATGCCTTGTCTCCACTCTCCCCCACCCCTACGCTGCCAAATTCTCTAGCAATTATGCAAAGAAATAATGCTCTGATCTTACTCTCAAATCCGGCCTCTCTGCTGGGCCAGCCTTATCTTACTAAAACTTAAATCTGATCATTTACTTCTCTTGCTTGATAACCTTTATTGGTCCCTGTTATTTACTGGATAAAGCCAAATTGTAGAGTGTCCCATTCAAATGGTTTCAGTCTGGCCTTTGCCTGTCTTTCTAATGCCAAATACGCTCTTTTTCCTCACATACTATTGGTCAGCCACAAAGGTTTGTTGTTGTCCCTTGAACAGAGGATATTCTTTCTTGACTGTGATTTTGTACACGGTATCACTTATGTTTGAATGCCCTTTTTCTTTCTGTGCCTGACATTTTGCAAGATTCAGCTAAAAATACACCTCTTCTGTGGCTCACCATTGTCATCATCCCTGTCTCTGCATCTCTTTCAACACTTCATGTACGATGTAGTATGTTATGGGATTATAAGGATAATTCGATGATTTCCTAAATTTGAAGGCTTCATGAGCCCTCCTTAATAAGAGATTTTTCAAGGGCGTGAACCACTTTTGTGGTTCCAAGTGTCTGGTCCAATAAGTATTTTTGGAATAGATGTATATATGTGCATGTATATAAATTACCATACGATTTAAGCCATGTTCTAGGAACAGTGTTGAGGATTTAAATATGTGTATAATTGTTATGCAATAATTCTTTCTATACATTGGCCCAAGAGAAAGGTGTTGATAGGTGAGCCTGACTGCATTAAGTTCCTGCTAGGTGCCTCTAGGGCATAAATTTTCCAACTTTGAAGGAAAACTTGACAAGAAGTGAGAAATACTTCTTCCCACCCTCCTTAGACTAAAGAGAGCCCCAAGGCAGAAAGATGCCTTGAAGGTAGGAACAGCAGGAGTTCTCATGGGGATAGAGCTGGTCATTCAGGACAGTGAACGTCTAGGGTCCTACCTACAAGGACCATGAATTTGGTCATCAGACAGAATGTTCTATAACAATTTATGTTCTAAGCCTGATATTTTAAACATTCAGTAAGGTCTCCTGAGGCACTAAAGGACTCTAATTTGGCAAGCCCAATGCATCCCTTCCCAGTTCCTCACCCTCAACCCTCCTTGGCCATTGTGGCCACGGGGCTGTGCCTCAGATGATGGCATAGATTGGGGGAGATACAGGTTGAAGGGCTTTGGTCTTGCACACATCCTTGAAAAGATTGGTTCAGTCTCCCAGCATTTCCTAGACCAAAGGTCTTATCAAAGACAAGCTGATTTCCCACATTGTGTCAATACAATTTAGGTAACTTACCCCTGCTCCCCCATCCAGATGATGGTTCAGACCCCCAGCCCCTTGTGAGTCAGGAAGACATATCTGCTTATTTCATTGAGAAAGACATTGAAACAGTGAAGAAGATGACGGATTATATAGTCGAAGTTACTTGAGGAATCTGAAGTAGAATGGTGTTTCTAAATCTTCCATAGAAAGAGGGAAATGTAAGTTTTCCTCCAGGAAAACCTCTAAGGAGTCAGGGGTTCTCTTTATCCCTACTGCCCTACCCTAACATCTTCTTAGACACCCCAGGAGACCCCTCATTTTAAGGCCTTGCAAGCACTAGAGAACCACTTTGGGGAGGGACAGCTAATTCTGTGGAGGAGCATGGGGCCAGAAGACTTGATCATTCCATTTCACCTTCAGTAAGAGTCTCTCTTGTACGGTCCTCCAAAGCCAGCCATAAGATATGGAAGAGAATTGCTAACCATGGTGATAATTAAGTGATAATTAAGGGGTGCCTGGGTCCTGGCACCTGGGTCCTGGCCAGTCAGGTCATGGGTTGTGGGTGGTGAGATCGAGCCCCATGTTGGGCTCCAAACTCAGCTTGGAGTCTGCTTGGGATTCTCTGCCTCTCCCTCTGCCCACCACTCATCGCTCTCAAATAAATAAATAAATAAATAAATAAATAAATAAATAAATAAAATCTTAAGAAAAGCTGATAATTAAATCCAACTGTTTTATTTGTTTTTTTAAATATTTTATTTATTTATTTGAGAGAGAGAATGAGAGAGAGGGAGCACAAGAGGGGGGAGGGTCAGAGGGAGAAGCAGACTCCCTGCTGAGCGGGGAGCCTGATGTGGGACTCGATCCTGGGACTCCAGGATCATGACCTGAGCCGAAGGCAGTCGCTTAACCAACTGAGCCACCCAGGCGCCCTGTTTTATTTCTTAAGACAAGTTTGCATGAGAGGATCACATGATTCTTTGAAGGCATTGAGAGTTGTTCATTGTATATTTGGGCAAATCAGATCCTTCACTTATTTTATTCTTGAAAGATCTGGCCTTCCTCTGTCCAGATACCCTAGAGGTCTCAGTACCAAGATGCTTTTCAGGGATTGATACAACTCTTGATGAAATGTGTTCATAATTTCCTTCTTTCCCCAGGAAAGTGAAGCAGCAATTTCCCCACCCTTTTCCTCAGCTCCTGACCCACATGGGAAATCCATGGAGGGGGCAGAAAGAAAGGGAGAGAATCTCAAGCAGCATCCGCTGACACAGGGCTCAATCTCATGACCCTGAGGTTATAAGCTGAGCCAAAATCAAGAGTCAGACGCTTAACCAACTGAGCCATCCGGGTGCCCCTGTGATGCTCTTCATAAGTATCAAAGGAGGCTGGAAGGAAACAGAAGTTAAGGGGGTTTAGGGCCCTATTTTTCCTAGGAATAAAAAGGACTAGGACTAGGACTATAACATACAGGACTATATACATAGTCCTGCTGTGTCTCTGGGTTTCTGGAATGAAGCTGATGTTTTAGGCCACAGCTGAACCATCTTGTGTGCAAGCGGAGACAGGATAATAAAGTAAACAGGAAGAGAGTCACACCTCTGATTGACCACCCACCGCATGCCAAGCCCTGTGCCCAGCGCTTCACCTATTTTCCTTTATTCCTCACCACAACCCTCCAGGTACTATTGTTTTCTCCTTGCCTATAGGAGAAAATGGAAAGCCCAAGAAGGTTAAATCTTAGCAAAAATCACAGAACTCTTAAGTGTTAGTGACAGATTTCCAACCAAACTCACATCTCCCTCCACCAAACATGCCTTTTCCTCAGCACTGGTATGGTGGTTATGAGTGAAGACTCTGGAATATAGCCTGGTGTGAACTCTGCTAAACCTCAGTTTCCTTACTTGGAAAAT